GTAGCAGCAGCAGCAGCAGGCGGAGGAGTAGTAGTAGTAGTAGTAGTAGTAGTAGTAGTAGTGGTAGAATAGTAGTGTAGTAGTAGTAGTAGTAGTAGTAGTAGTAGTAGTTGTTGTTGTAGTACTAGTACTAGTACTAGTACTAGTACTAGTACTAGTACTAGTGCTAGTACTAGTACTAGTACTAGTACTAGTACGAGGAGTAGTAGTAGTAGTAGTAGTAGTAGTAGTAGTAGTGGTAGCACTGGTAGTGATAGTTGTAGAGTGTTAGGAGTTCAAGGGTCGGTGCCAGCAGCAGTGTTACATCAGCCAGAGTTTTGGAACCGCGCTGATGAGTTGCCCAGACTTGAGGGTCTTGCATAAATTTCCACAAACACGAAACCCAGAGCCCGCAGCCAGGAGAAGGAGGATGCGGCCTGAGTGTCACATGAGTTCACACACTCGGCGTGGGTGTGTGGGATGATGGCCCTCCCCCTCTCCGAGACACTGATCAGGTTTGAGCCTTCAATGGAGAAGCTTGGTGCCACGAAGTTTGCGTGTCTAGGGTTGTAGGGTGGAGGGTTTTGAGGGCCTTTGACCAGGGTTAGGGATCATGACGAGAAATCTTGCTTTGAGCTGTCGAAATCGACAGGGCCATATACAGCTCGGTGTTGTTTGCCCGGAAGCGAGTGGAGGTGTTTAAGAAGCCCTGGGCAAGCCACATCGCGGGAAGTATGGAGATCTGGCAAAACTCTTTGGGGAACCGGATACAATGAAAAGTTGAGGGTTGGAGTGCGGTGGTTCTTGTTTGGGTCTAGTCTCAGACACGGCGTGCCCAAAGCCCACAGTACCCTCACGATTCTGCACACCTGCCGATGGCGAATGCCCAATAGCGTTAGATTATGTTCAGGCAGATGGAGAGTGCGGCTCAGCTCTACATGCTCCAGAACTCTCGAAGCCGAATCAAGATGAACTCAAGCCAAGAAGGTGAAGCCTGTTCGAAGACTGCGCAGTATCTCCACGTGTCCCAGAACCCAACACAGTAGCCATGGAATGTAGATCCGCATCGAACTGGCTCCGGAATATCAGGGTTGGATCTCTGTCCGCATCGAACGGACTCCGAAATATCAGGGTTGGATCTCTGGCTTCTTCAATCAACATCCTGCACCTGCATGTCAAACAACATGTGTTCCGTGCGCCCAACAGCAGCTTTTCTTGGCAACAGCAGCCGGCACTCTCCGCTCGGTTCGTCATAGATCTGACATGCACCATCCGCCCCAGTGAGCCACTTCGGGCTCGGGCCGTGCCAAATATCTTGACCCACTATCTCGAAATTCAGCAAAGCAGTGTCAGCGAGCATGTGCATTGGGTAAACCACGATATCGAATCGCAGAGCCCTGACCGACGAGCCATGAAACCCGAAACCCTGAACTACTAAAATCCCTGCAACCTAAACCCGAAACCCTGAACTACTTAAATCCCTCCAAACCCGAAACCTGTACGCAATTTCGCCCTAATCCTTAGCCCCGGGCAGAGAAGCCCGGCCTGTCGACTGGTAGTGTCAAAACATGTCACAATGCCTCGAGCTGCTGGACGGATAGAGGTTAGGTTTTCGGGGTTACACTATAGACTATAGAGGTACTCTTGTAGTTATGAAAAGGCTAATTATAGTCTAACTGAGCGCAGTGCCAGCGCATGTGAATTTGGCTAGAATGATTTCCTGTTCCACATATCGTGCCCAGCAAGGGTGCTCTGATACAGTGTGCTTGTCAACGTCGTCGGCTTTTGGTTTCTAGAGCTAGCAAGAGCTGAACACTTTGTTGCTCCGTTTCTCAGTGTGGACTGTGCTCTTCGGACCACAGAAGCCATGCAGATGTTGATGTTGAAACATGAGGGAGTTTCAGAGAGCCGGCGATTCTAACATAGCCCACAACCTGAGATCAGACAATTTGCTGGTTGTACTCTGGCACGAAAGTTTCTTGGTGCCGTTGCTCTTGGCAGTCTTGCTGCTCTTGCTCTGGCTGCTGATAATACTGATGCTGCCGTTGTTGTGGGTATTCGTCTTGGTATTTCTGTGCATGCTGTGTAATAGACATTCAAAAGCTGTTTATGTCTCTTCTCTCTTGCCTTTTTTCAATCCTTGTTAGCCCATGCTCTCGCTCTCTCTCTCTCGCTCTGATGTCTCTCTCTCTCTCCTCTCTCTCTCTCTCTTTCTCTCTCTCTCTCTCTCTTGCTCTCGCTCGCCTGAATACTCGATTGTTGATGGTTTGCAAAGGTCAATCTGCTGGTGTGAGCTTCTTTCAGAAGACGGCAGATGAAAGCCAAGGTTCAACATCTGCCGAGTACATCTGGTTCGCTGGTAGATTTCGCATATTTTATCTATTAAAAAAGGCAAAGAGAGAGAAAGAAGACAGTAGAGTCCGAGCCCAAGCCCTTCACCGAAAAGAGGCAGAGTATTTCCTGGCAGCTCAAGGCGACCACTGAAGTAGCCAGACAGCGAGTCTCACAGGATGCCGCCGCAGTTCATAAGCTTGGCGGGCGGCAGGTTCGCTCGGCATGTCCCCTACAGTGGATATAGGTCCGCAAGGCTTTGTCTAGTGCGCTCAACCCTGAGCCCCGAAGCACTAACTCCCGAAATACCAAGCCTGAAGCCCTCGCCAAAGTGACCGCGATTATAGGCGCAGGAACGCGCTTGGTCCGACGTGCAGGAGACACCGAATAAAGTGCCGTGTCCACATTTTGACTGTAAGTTTGGGGTGCTGTCTGCCATTGTAACCGCCGAAGTGTGAGAGTTGAGCGACGCCACTTCTCATTTGTGTCTTTGCTTTCTGCTACTTCGTTAAGACCCGCAGGAAAGGAGTCTCGGATTAGGAAGTTATTCGCACTGTTCTTCCAGTGACCTGCACAGGCCCACTCGTGCTGCACCCCTGCATCTGACGATGTTTTGGCTCAAAGGCCTAACAAAGGGGTCTGTTTCTCCGCACCACTCACCGCAGACTGGCCCCTTGGATGCAAAGGGACCTGCATCATTCGGTGACCACTTGTGCGCAGACTTCCGGTTAGAGATGCTAAGAGCCTTCCGAACGAGTCCCGGAGACAAAGGTGCAGTGAGACTTGGACTTTTGTTATTGTCACAGTAGTCATACCCTGCCAACGACATGCACAGCCATCATGTGAAAAGCTGGACCTGCACTGCACGCAACGATAGCAGGGCAACAAACAGTGCAATCAAACATATTAAGGTACTTACCAATTACCAGCTGCAAACAAACACACACGCACACAGACACCCACACACACACACACAAACACACACACACACACACACACACACACACACACACACGCGCGTGCGTGCAAATACGCACGTGCACACACACACACACAAACGAGAAATGAAGTGCCGCTTGCGTTCGAGCGTTTTCTTCGTGATGTTGTCTTGGAAATACATGTCCTCTGAAGAACGAGGACCTCTGCTTTGTCGGGTCAACAGGCAGCAGGCAACTTCTATTCCTTGTCAGGCTGGGTCAAGCCGGAAAACTGCCGCCCGAAATCCAAGCATGCGGAATCTCCGGAGTTGTGCCTCCCAGTTCGGAGCCTGTTCGGAGCAAGCTAATGGTAACTGCCGCCCGAAACCTCCGCTCACGCACTTCCACAGTTGACAACTCGAGGCTGGGAGAGGGCGGAGGACTTCGAGAGGTCAGTCTGCAACGTGAGGCTCTTCCGGCGGGTGGGCCAGAGGGACAATAGATCATCAGACCTTCCTTGTTTGATAGTGCTGTGGATGTCCTCAATGTAGTCAGTACTAGCTTAGGGCCGAGGGCCGAGGGCCTTCTTAAGTTACGTGGATGGTGTCAAGAGCCTGGGATCAGCCATCGAGGCCCTTCAGAAGCAGTGTGACCGTAGAGACCCTGTTGCAACGAATACGGTTCAGATAGAGCTCTAAGCCAGATACGAGCCCTACAAAGCTCTCTGTCGAGTATTTAGACGAAACAAGCTTTCGTGTTCCAGCGCGGGCATCACGCCTTCGTAAGACCCTTCTGGGTTCCAGGTGGAAGAAGTTATTAAGTTACTGGGTCAATAGGATAAGGTCTTAGGCTCCAATCGTTTGAGTTAGGGTCTAGGTCAAAATCATGCAATTTCGGTCAAAGTGATGTGCAGAGTTTCCAATCTCGGGTCCCGTTGGCTGTGGTTCTTCGCTACGAACCTTCCCAAGCTTCGTGACTCGCAAACTCGAGATTCAGCATCCTACACCCCAGGTCAGTCCATGAGCCGTCGAAGCGTGGAACAACTCCTACAGTCATCGACATGCTGCTCTTTTTCATACCTGTGGAGTTCACAGTCAGTACACTTGTACCGCAACCCCTCCTCGACCTGATGCCCGGGGCTCTTGCATGCAACAAGTTGTAATAAGATCAAGCCAAGTGTGAATGCGTAGTAACTGCCAAGGCGCGGACATGCATTTCTCACCCGGTCAATGCCTCCGGCCTTCTGTCCAAAGTCCGAGCTGCAGCCATGTGGTATCACAACAGTTCCCCCAGCTCCAAACCCACATTGCACGAGCTTAAGCAATCCGAACCACTATCAGCCCCCACGAATAAGCCCTGATATACGAACCAACAAGCCCACAAACCTATCTCTGCTAAAACTGGTGCGAGACGTCGGGGCTTCAGGTTTTGTCGGGTATCTTTCTTGTCGAGGTACAGTCGCAGGCCCCTGCTCCGGGGGTGCGGACCTCAGCCTCGTACTGTAGGATTTTTTAAAAATAATATTATGACTTTTTTCCGGGTGTATCATACACCCAAGAAGCTAAATGAATAAGCTAAATTTCTGAAGCCTTGAAGCCATCCTCCGGGGTTTCTTGGGGGGTTTCTTGCACCGAGAGGGCTCTGGGCGTAGCTCAGCTCTACACTGTTTACGAAACTTTAAGCTCGAAGTGCCAGTATTCTAGGGTTTTGGGGGTCCACTATTATTATTATTACAGTATAGTATACTCCCAAACCCTTTTCTAATTATTAAGGTCCCTGTATTACACTTCCGAGATGGGATGCTGAAGCTCTTGCGGGTCGAGGATTTTGAGTGTGAGGGTTAGCGACGGGTGCGTGAGTTTTTCTGGGTTTGGGCTGGCTTGGACCACCTCCTCCTTCTTGAGCTTCCAGAACCCGAAATGACTGCCGACACTCTAAACTATTCTTCTGCTTGGGAGCACAAGAAGAGAGCCCTCGACAAAAGGCCATCCTCCTTCACCAGTGTATTCCAATGCGGCACACTATTGCTACTATGACGGTAGCCGTCATTTGTTGCTCGGTTTTTTTCGTTCTCGTGGCTGCTTCACCTGCGGCGCATGACTATTGCTACTGCTTTCTAACGTCGGAGGGTTAGGGTCAAGTTGGGTGCGGCCTACAAGTTCCGTCATTTTCGCTTGCCTTCGCGCGTGGACCATTCTCTTTGCGTGACGCGAGGGTTTGCGGCAGATCCCAAAGCCGAGACCCATGGCTCCCAAAGCCCTAAAACGGTATATCGTGCTTTGAAAGAGGGCGGACGTATCTAGGTACTGTAAGCAGATTTACTAATGATCCGGCCCTGTAGCTTTTGAGTGAACGAGCTCCCGAGTACAGATAGCGATCGCGATATTCGTACATACTAAAAGTGCCATCAACAGTCATAAGAGTGGCACGAGCATAATTGAGACTCGACAGAACATCACGAATAGGCACCTGCCAGTCCTGCACCCAAATGCTCTTCGCGCCAAGGCCTGCCAACCTGTCGGGCGCCATTCCCACTACACAAGACGGCCACTCCCTCAGGGGCTTGCAGAGGCGCAGGCAGCATTGCGCGGCAATAGCCCTACCAATAAAGAGCGCCTATGTCAATACTAATCGTACATGTGTGATCTCAGAAGGAGGCGCTAAATGCGACTATCAACAATGATGACAATATCAGTGCCAGAAAGATGCATGACCTGCAGCAGGGAGGCATCAAGCCGGTCTCGAGCACGTGGGTCAGATATTGGAGGGGCTTGTACTGGGCTCTCCAGATGGCTTGGCTTTGGGGTTTGCGGTTAGGGTGGGGTTTAGGAGTCTAATTTTGTGGCGCAGTCGTAGTGATAACTGTTGCATCATACACCGAGTTGAAGGTGCTTGCGATGTGGGTCAGAGCTGAACTTCCCACAGGAACTTCAGTGGGAAGATCATAGGTGCCTCGACATCTGGGATTTTACATGGCGCGGTCTCTGCCTCTGTTGCACCAGAAGCTGACCTTCGGTTAGAGCTTCCTGACGCTGTTTAATGCATGTAGCTACTGGTCCTCTCATCACGCATACCGCATACATCCGCATACTGTCTTTGTTCATTACGACCGTTATGATTGTGGCGAACCTAAGCTAGGAAGGCCGGGGCATTATGAGGACCTCGACACCACAGATCCACGACAGGAAGCCGATCCTGCCTACACCATAGCCATCTTACCTGGCTTACCTATGAAGTAGGCCCAGCATGGAAGTGCAGAGAGTCCTTGCACCCAGGCAAATTCATCCCCGAGCCCATTAGTCCAATGGCCGGGCAATCCTTGGAGGCTGCCGATGGTGAGGATGTGGTTGTGGCGGTGGTGATGGTGATGGTGGTGATGGCTGGGGTGATGATGATGATGACGATGATGACGATGATGATGCTGTTGCTGTGATGACAATGGTGGTGGTGATGATGATGATGACGATGATGATGATGATGGCGATGATGATGATGTTGATGTTGCTGTTGTTGTTGTTGTTGTTGATGATGATGATGATGATCATGACGGTGATGATGACGACGACGACGACGACGACGACGATGATGATGATGATGATGATGATGATGATGGCGATGATGCTGATGGTTGTGACATGACTGTGACATGATTGTCACGATGCAGGTGGTGATTCTGTTGGATGATCGGTGTGATGCACAGTTGAGACTTCCCAGCAGCGTCATTCGAGCCCGTAGAGGGTTGCAGGAAATCTTCTGAACTTCGTGCAGAGTTTTAGCCTCACGGTCCATCAAGACCCGGGCCCTCAAGACTCAAGACTTTGGACTGACCCCACCTGCTGAAACCAATCACTGAATCGAGATTGCAGTCACTCCGACTACTACCGCCATTTTCGCTGTTACTGTTGCTACGCTATTCTGGCTGCGACGAGCCACTACTACCACTGCTGCTCTTACCTCTACTGCTGCTCTTACCTCTACTGCTGCTCTTACCTCTACTGCTGCTACTGCTACTCGGCTGATGCTGCTATGACATTCTGGCCGACATGAGAAGTCCCGAGATGCGCAGGTGCCGGATGGCATGGAAGACCCAGGTTCCCCCGTGTCTCAGTCTGGGGCCGGGGACCTCGGGAGGGCTGGGGTTCTTGGAGTTCGGGGTTTCTGGTTTGCTTGGGGCAAAGGGCTCAGTGTTACAGAGGGATTACAGCGGCACGAACCCTATTCTTGGAGCTCCTTGCTGCAAAGCAGGGCTGAGCCCACTCTTGAAAAGTACCGGCCGCCTTGTCGGAGCGGCTCAGAGCTTGTTCCAGTACAGCCTCCAGTCTGATACTACCCGCATACTGAAACTATTGGTTCACCAGCCTACCAAGACAAGAGTAGGCTGATGAGATTCTGCCACAACGGCAGCACGGCGAAGTGAAGACGATCATGGCTGCATCGGTGCAGTGTTTGCAACGATTTCGTCCTGCATTGAGGTCAGACCGAAGGTATAGGTATGTCAGCAAGAAGGACAGTACTACTCGCGATGATGAGCATTGCATTGTTCCCAGGGCATTCCGACCTCGAAATCACAGCGGAGCATCATAGCAGGCGCCGTGCTGCTGTCCCGAAGTTTCACGTGTTTGCATCCTGCCAAACGAATGATTGCATTTCAGAGCCACCGTCGATGTCTCGTCTTCATATCGACGGACTGAAGGACATTTTCGTCACGTCCCACGGTCCCACGGTCGTAGTTTTCAGTGCAGTCACGACACACATTAAACCAACACTGGCAGTAGCATAGGAACCAGTAGCAAAGGAAGCGTCATGGCTGCTATGGCCGTACAGTATTCATTCATGTGAGGATCACAATCCGGTTTTCACGATTTATACCTTGTTGCTCCTGCTGATCAAACACGAAGACAGCCGTACTTCAGATACATGTCAGACTGTCGCCTCGGCCAATTAGGCAGCTATTACTACTTTCTTGCTTATTAAGGCCACTGCGATATCTCCTGTCGCTGTTACCTCAACCACTACCCCTAGGACGATGACCTATGCTACTACTATCACCACCACCACCACCACCACCACCACCACCTGCACTACCTGTACTACTGCGGCTGCTGGTAGTGTTGCTGCTTCTGCAGCTTCTACGTCTCCTGCTACTACAGCTACTAGGACACAGTACGCCGCCTACTGCCCCTTTGAAATTTGTCTATTATAAGCACTGCCTTCGTGGCGTGAAGTGTTCTGCCATGTTGTGCGTACGGTTCCCTTGGAGCCATCATCTCAAAGACTGTTTGAGCAGGTGCTGCCTCTTTGCACTGTAGTGGTTGTGTTAATGTCACTCTTGCAGCTGTTATTCTTATTGATCTTGTTCTAGCTGTTGCTCTTGTTGCTGCTGTTGCTGTTGGTGCTACTGCTGCTGCTGCTGCTGCTGCTGCCGCTGCTGCTGCTGCCGCTGCTGCTGCTGCTGCTGCTGCTGCTGCTGCAGTTGTCGCTGTGGCGGTGGCGGTGGCGGTGGGGGTGGTGGTGTTGGTGGTGGTGGTGGGGGTGGTGGTGTTGGTGGTGGTGGTGGTGGTTGTAGTGGTGGCGGTGGCAGTGGTGGTGTGGTGCTGGCGCGGCAGTGGTTTTGGTGGCCGTGTTAGTGGTTGTTTCGGCAGTGGCGGTAGTAGTGGTGATTTTGTTGTGTGTTGTTGTGGTTGATGTTGGTGGTGTGGTCGTTGTTGTTGCGTCTCCAAAACTCTAGAATCTAGTCTTCGTCACGTAATCACAGATGTTGTGTACCCAACTCGCGACAGTGCTGGCAGAAACATCTGCCAAAGTGCCGTGCAGAGCACCAAGGGAATTGGATAGAAACCTTGTATGATGGACAAAAGAGTCGTTGAAAAGCATTCAAGACTGCAAGATTGCTGCCCACAAGGCGCTAGTGAAAGAGATGACCGAACGGACGTTCACGGGAATAAGATCACAAAGGCCGACCCGAGCGGTTTCTGTTTCGGCGTGCTACCCGTTTCGGTTCGTTGCATTCATTCGGACGGGTTAAGTTGGACTGCTAGTTGCATTGCTTTTTCAGAGTCTTCAAGCTGAACCCGACATCCCTTGGCCTCAGGGCCTCGCCCTGGCCTAGTGTGCTTTTGATTCGGCGATCGGTTGTCTTCCAGCAGGTTTGAGAAGCAGGGAAGACCATACTGTGGTGCGGAGACTAATGTTTGTTGGCGTCTAGTGATACTGTCAGAGCCTCATCATCAGTCGAGCTACACGAGCAACATAGTGATGAAGATTATCATCATTCACTGAGCATCACCATACCATCACCACCACCATCATCATCATCATTTCATCGCGACTGCTATCTCGAATCTTCGTCATAAGCACAATATCGCCATCACTGTCATCGTAGCATCAACCTTTCTCCCAGCCCTTTGTCCAACACTACCATGCCTGATGTATGCAGAGGCCAGGCCAGTAAGCGGTAGGAATCAACCCCGAAGACAGCAATACCAAGCCCCACTAGCCCTCGGGGCGAAGGCAACACTTGCAATATATATATATATATATTCCGATCCCCCGTGTTGCAACGTAAGTTGATGTAGGTTGTCGGATGGGCCGGAGGGGCATCCCGTTAAGGTCCCGATCTTCTGCAATGTATGTCACACCCACCAAAGGTTTCATCTTCTCGACTCCATGCTGAAGCCGCCAGAGTCACGAAATCAGCGAGTATATGGGAAGAGAACCAAGTCCAAATCGTCCCTCGCCTGCCAGGGATCAAAAACATATAGGCCTCGCCGGGGCCTGCAGAGAGCTTGCTGCATGTCTTGCTTCCATTTCACATGTCGCATCTATAGTTGAAGGTTCTGGCATTTTCGAGACTTCTGGCATTTACTGATCTCAGATACATAGTTTCCCGGATGCTGTGCATGCTAGGTTACGCTCATTGAGGCTGCCACGCCTGCAGACAGTTGAAACAACCCCTTGAACTTCTTCCTGAATGTTTTGGCTGACACTTCGGCGAGCATCGCACTTCTTCAGTTCGGATATTGCGTGGTCCATTGGCGCTCATGTTTCTGTGATGTGTCTGCTCATGGAGTTTCCCGGCCTTGCAGTTGCCATTTCAGGGAATGTCGTGGCATTCCAATGCCTCGTGCCCTAGGGGGTGGTAGACATGACAGTTGAAACCCTAAACACGTAAAAGCCCTAAGCCTGAAACCCTTAAACCTACGCCCCGGAGCCTAAGCGACAAAACGAAATGCCCTAAACTCCTAAACCCCTAAACCCTCACGCCCTAAACCCTAGAACCGCCCTAAACCTGGCAGGTGCAGCTTTAGAGACGAAGTCGAGCAAGAGCCGATCCACGACATCAAAGAAGTCCAGTCCTTCAAACAGAACGCCTTGGCATGGTTTATTAAGAGGGCTTATCAGGGTTCTCTGAGGGCTCTATAAGTGCACTAGAAGGGTTCAGGGGCTACAATTTTGTCTGACTGCTCTAGCTGCATAATACGTATACTAGATGTAGAACGTTGCTTTCGGCTTGGCAGGGCTATGCCTAGACCTAGATGTTGTCTTCGTTGCTGTACGCATTTCCACCTCGAGCTAAGGCATGCTCCTGTGAAGTGTGGAGAGAGCTTCAGATAGATCACTTGCCGCAAATGTGCATTGAGGCCGCTTGGTCATATGGCGGTGGCATCCGTACATAGACAGTATCGTAGTAGAGCCAGTACACAGTTGGGATCGCAGTGGATGTGGGAATTGCTTCAAGAGTTCTAAAACCTGGCATGTCTTCTCGACCTCTTGCCGCGAAAAGCCGAGCTAGGCCAAAGCACGTGCAGAAACCATACCCGCCGATGGCTAAATGCAGTCTCGACATCCGAACTCCGAATGAGTCGCCAAGCGCCAGGCCCGGGCTAGGCCAGCAACTTCAAGACAGTGACAATAAGGCCGCCACCGGGGGGTAGGCAGTGCCGGTATTGTTTCTGGTGTATTAGTTTGAACAAGTTGTTTTCCAAGTAGCTGTGTCGTTTCTCTTCTTACTGTTCAGTACCACTACTCCTAGTACTCTTACTGCTACTCCTACAGCTGCTGCAGCCTTGGGTTTTCCGAGCGCGGTGGCATGAATGTTGCAATTCACGCTTGCAGGAAGCTGTTTGCTGCAGGTATCCGGCCTGAGTTCACTTAAGACGTAAGGGATGTAGTGCTTGGGGGTCTTCGTGATATCTTTACGCGACCCGTAAACCCCAAACCCGTAAAGTTACAGACGACGGCTCGGTCCCAAGCTGAACCTTCAAGCTGGCCTCTCACAGCCTCATCGCGGAAGCTTCAGGGAAGTGCCTCTCAGGGGAACAGGTCAAGTAGAGCCAACAGTAGTTCGAAGGGCTTAAAGCGGAAACCCTTTATCTATAAGCTGTGATCCGGCCTTGTTCGCAGAATTGCTGCTCGCTAATGTGATGCACGGTGCGCATCTCAGCCTGCGACACCTGGTGAAGGATTGAGAGGATCTGTATCGAGTTTGTTTATGGTTCTTACATTGCGTTGCAAAGTGCAAGGGTGCAAACCGGGCATACCCCGGTACCGAGAAGATGGCTTCTTGAAGTAATTGAAACATATCAGCTCCCGAGGTGCACGGCCAGATTGTCGATAGAAGGGTCAATCAACACCGAATGTGCGGCAAAGTTTTGAAACACGTGTCCCGGATGATGGAAGGCAAGTAGAGTTTCTGACCATGTGACCACTTTCGCATGTGGGTTAGTTGGATAATCCGACACCACGGAAGCTTACGTCTTGATGCGAGAAGCTTGAAGCTAACGGACCTCTTGAGGCTCGAGCGCTTAAACGCTTCGGAGAATGCCTCTGCTGTATGGGTAGTTCTTTGAATTAGGGTCGCTTTTAGGTCCCCACTATAATACGGCTCCCTTATAAAAAGGACCCCCAAAAGGACCCTAATTTAGAGAACTACCCTTATAGTGTCCCGTAGATCCCTGTAGAAGCTTAAATGCCGCCGCAGAGAAAGGGGGGGGGGTGCAGCGCAAGGATTTCAGAAGCTTCGAGTCTTGGCTCTATTAGGTGTAGGGTTGAGGCATTTTGGGTTTAGTGATTCAGGGTTTTAGGGTAAGGATTTACTTATGCGCTTAGGGTTAGGATGGAAAGCGGACGGGTTCAGGGCGAAGCGCCGTTACTTCGGGCATGGCGCTTTTCTCCTTGAATTCAGCTCCGTGGCCCTGACGTAGCCTACTGGCCTGCTCCAACCTCCGGATGCCCAAGCTGTGGCATAGTCAAAATACTGTAATGCTGAGGGTTGCTTGCCATAGATTGCTTGTCGACAACAAATATTCGCTTGAATTCGTGGGCGATTTAAGTTGCGGGCTTCAGCTTCATATTGAACTTGGCCGACTCACCCGACCTTACCAGTTGCTGCTCCTCAGGCCTTCTGCATCTCGCACATGGCCACAACAAGCAAGGCAGAACGGAAGGAGGGTTGTGTAACCTAACGAAGTTGGAACAGCCAAATTCAAATTAGAGTCCGGGGGACTGCGGGAGTGGATTCTTTTCACGCTGATCGGACTCGAGGATAGCGGCAACAACGGTTTGATATTATACGTATGTATGTGTATGTACCTATATCTACGATTGTGAGCAGTTGTCGTTGTTACAACCATCCCGCCAGTTCTCTGTGTGTCGGTACATTCTGGCACAGACTGTCTAATTGCCAGGTGGACAGGCAACATGCATTATAAAAGGGTTGGTTATCTTGTAGAAAGGGTGCATAAGACAAAAGCGGGACTGGCAAGAGCAATGCAGGCGTGTCCGTACTTTGGCTTCTGACTTCAAAAGGATGGGAATTTGAGGACCACCTCCGTGGCGAGAGGGCTTCAGGCGAACACTCAGAGCGAACTGTACTACTCGGAGCAGTATCGGCAACTGGCTGGAATGCCAAAGAGAATGCACCAACATCACCATGAATCCGGGTAGTGCTTGGTGTAATTTTCGTCTTCGTCGTCGTCGTCGTTGTGGTCGGCGTCGTCGTCGGCAGTCGTCTGGTAGTCGTTCTGGAAGTCAGTGGTACGTAGCACAGTAGCCTTGACGGTGTAAAGTCGTAGCGGTAGAGTCCGGAGAGGAAATGATTGTGGTGGTCGTCGTCGTGGTGGTTCAAGTCGACGTAGTAGCAGCAGTAGTGGTGTTAGCAGTAGAAGCACCAGCAGCGTGTGCCAGCGGTAGCCATAGTAGTAGTAGTAGTAGTAGTAGTAGTAGTCGTAGTAGTAGTAGTGGTGGTGGTAGTAGTGGTACTGGCACCATGTTCCAACAGAGAGGCGGCTGGACGCCTCAAAGTCGTTGGCGGCATTCTGAGATTCTGAGTGACACCACTCGTAGGCTTAAGCCGGGAAAACGCAGAGCAGCACACTGCTCAGGAGATAGATAGTTGCTTTTCTCACGCAGTCGGAAGTCATATCATAACACGACTGGGACTGAAATGCGTTCTCCTGGCTGACAGCAGATGTTTCTCTAGGACTCGCAGGCTCAATGGCCCGCAAAGTCACGCCCTGAACTGGGAGCGAGCCGCTTCTGAGCACGCGATGCTTCAACCATGTAATCTCGAGTAACTCGTGGCAGACGATTATTCTCGCTTGGACCGGATGGGAGCTGTGTAACACCTAGTCTTGATGCCTTGGGCGACTCTAACTAGCTTTGACAAGAGTAGACCTTGCTTGCAGACTTGTAGTAGCAGCTAGCGGTTGGAAGGTGTTGGGGGCGTTCACACAGATAGAGGAAAGCGCTTGACGACAGCATGCAGGTTGTTCTGCGCCCGGCCAAACTGCTGAACATCGAGATCTCACATGAACTAGTGGCCGTCAGGCCGCTAGTATACTTAGTGTATCTTAGCATTAGTTGTCTTTCAAAGTCCCAATAGTTGTGTATCTACCCAAAACCTGTTCTAGTTATGAAGGCCCCTGCTTATGAAGAATGAGCTCCTTTAGCAGGTGTCTTCCGGCGGGGCAAGAACTTGTGGATTCCAAGGTGTGCACTTGCTCATCAGGTGAAGGTCTGCTTCCTAATCCCGCACAATGCTGCCCTCAATCCCAAATCTGCTTTCATTCTGTGGAAGCTCATGCGGCTATCGGACCAACTTACTATTTGTTCTGCTCAGGGTGGCTTGGTTTCAGAACGCCAAAGGCGGTTCAAGCAGTTACCCAGATGCAACCCAGGTCACAAACGGGACCCAGACAAGGATTGAAAGACACCGAAAAGCAAGGATTCGTGATGGGGCAGCGTATGGCAAGCGAAACGTACCTAGAGTCTCGGCGCCATCAAATTCACTCAGATTCAAGTCCTCTCTGCTCTGGAAGTTCCTGAAGTCCGACCAGGTCGGAAAGCTCCGGTATGATAGTATGATGACAAGGAAAGAAACAGGACATCATCCCACCCCCTGAAGCCCTAAACCC